GGTATTTGGTATTCCAAGGGAACCTTGATGTACCTCTGGTTTACTGCTAAGGGACTGAATCAAGTGCACCGGAAGCCAACATCTGGAGATGACCATAAATAATCTCTTGGAGAAAGAGACTCTGTGATATCTCTAGGATATCTGTTCCACAGTCCACATGTTTTCGACTAAAGTTTTTTCTTATTTATTCATTTTTAAATTTACATATTTTCTTTTGTGGTTTTTTCCTCCTCCTCCAGCATAGAAGGAAGGAGAGATTCTCACTTTGGACCAGTTTCTTCAACAGAATAATAAAGCTGTTTCTAGCCACAGGTGGCAGTATGTCCAAATGCTCCTATAGGAGAAAAGCAAATCCCAGCTTGCAGGGAAATAGTGTGTCAGAGGAAGTTCAGTCAAGCCTTTTTCCAATTATTCTCCCCTCTCTGCACTTGCTTGTTTCACTATTGGAGGACCTTTCAAGCTGCTACCTTCCCTCCCCCACCCCAAGTCCAGTGTGGCACAATTCAAGATAAGCTTGATTCCGTCATTTGAGTAACTGGGCCTTCAAGTAAGGGTATCTGAAAAGAAATGAAGTAACTAACAAAGCACCAGGTGACAATATATTCCCTCTTGGGAATCTCCTAGAGCAGTTTCTCAGCACAGGCAGAAGACAGCAACCATTATGACAACATGGGTGAAATACCTTCCTTCCAGCATGGGTGGGAATGTGGTTTACTTCTGGCATTATACCAAATAAGCTGCCGGCAGCCATCGTAAGCACAGGAGTACTCATCGTCCCCAATACCATAACCTTCCTTCAAGGAAAATGAGAACAGGGCATTTAATGCTCTTTGACGTGACAGAACAAGCAGAAACCTATAACAGATCAGCAGTCACCTATATCAATAGTTGTGTGAGGATCATCAATATACTGAAGTAACAATTTGATCCAAGATATAAGATCAGAATCCAGATCCAATTCTTGTTCGGTTGGACTGACTTGCCCATATGGTGTATTCTTATCAATCTCATTTAGAACTCACCTTTCTTCCTGGGACTGACGGAGGATTGCAAAATATAACAAGCAATTTAATGAGACAGCTCCTCCGATAAACAGTGCAGTAGGACCAGAACTACGCAACTGGAAAACAACGCAAATGAAAATTGCCTATAGCAGTGATGCTCATGCAGTGACCTGAGAGCTACATGTGGCTCTCTGGCATGGCACCTATGGCTCTCCTGAGCACTGTTCCCCAATGTGGCACCTGCCCCGTTCCAGGAAAGTGGGCAAGGCCCTTGCCTGATAGGGCTGGTAGTTAGCAGGTAGTTGGCAGGTGGTTCCCACCTAGAAACTGCCACCACCATAGGAACAGGTAACCTGCAAGCCTCCCTTGGACCTCATATCAGGAATGGATGTCAAAACTGCATTTTTGGTTGATGGTAACCGCAAGTGTGGTATTCTGTGAGTATCACTGGTCTAATGCAACAGAAACTGCTTAAGGCATGATATACCACAATCAAGAAAGGGGGTTTCAAAGGTACAGGACCAAGGGAAGGAATATGTACCCCGCTTTCCTTTGCTGGTGATGTGTTTTCAGACCTATTTTGTCAGTTCTCCCACTTCTCCAAGGGAGTGATCCTGAGATGATAGAGGGCAGAAGTGTGAGAATGAACCAGTGCCTCTGGCTTCCATAACTAGGGCCTGCTTATTCTACAGAGCTCCTGGCTCTGATCTGGTACTCTCATTCCCCCTCTGTTGTCCTTCACCACTTGAAGCCTTTTGAGTTTTCTTGGTATGAAACGGACAGATTCTGTTTGGCTGCCTGAAGCCAAATTGCAGTGCAATGTAAGCTGACACATAAATTAATCCTAACTAACATGCAAGCTGAAGTTCCTTTCCTGCCCTCCAGCGAGCAAACCTGTTCTGTTTCACGCCTCTTCCTCGCTTGTTCTCTTAATATCTTTTTATCCTGCTTGTTACACATTCATGAAGTACAAACAATAGCTTTTGCCATCATCTCTGTTGCATCTGGTTCAGAGCTTTGTGCGATCCTGGAACTGGAACCAATGAAACAGAAAAGGACTTTTCTGACATCTTGAAGACTAGTAGATTCACTGCCAATCTTTCAGGTGTCACAAGTCACCTTTTTGTTCATTTACTGTGCCAAATCCTCGTGTCTACCCCTCCCGAATCTGCCATCAAATAAACCTGAATTCCTCTCATGCGGTTAAATTTCACTTTTTCTTGGCTTATCCTAAGACCACAAGGGTCAGCTCAAAGAAGTAGGTGTCTCAATCATATTTTGGACAGACACATACATGAAGATGGACAGCTGAACAACACTATTTCAAATGCTAAAGCCTTTTAATGTGAATTTTACTGAAGGATCTTAAGACTACTCAAAATTTTACCAGAGAAGGTTATGGATATTAGGAGTCTGACCAGAGGGTCAATAGCTGCTGGGTGCTTCTGCAGGAAGGATACCACCATCACTACAAACTGCTCTGGGGAAGACTGCAGGAGAACACTGACTGTGTGGAAACCCTCGTGACAGATTTACAGAACAGCTCTATTTCTCTGCTGTTTTGCCCTAGTTTGATGGTGCTTTCTGGAATCTTGAAGGCCAGGACAGAATAAATGCTAAGCAGAGACATACCTTATCATAATGGTAAAACCCCAAAAGATACTACCAAAATAAAAACTGTACTGCTTGTAAGACTGGCTGTGGTTCAGATTTAACGACAGAATTTATGTATGGAGTACTTACGTGGTTGAGAAATTTGCTATCTTTGGTAGCCCAGCCTATCTGCATCACTCCTGAAGTAATGACTGTGACTTCATAGTACCAAGCTCCAGAATCCACACAGAAGGTACATCGAACACTTTCAAAAGAGGAGGCGTCACATCGGGCCTGCAAAGCGAAGACAAAAATAAACCACTTCCACCCTGAAAGGAGTAACCCGGAACAGCAAGGAGGAGGAACACTGTAATCCTTGAATCCTTCCTCGGCCATCCCAGTGTGTGCTATAATGTCACTGGATAGTTTTTTGGAACTAACCTTTCCTGTTCTGGGTTTAAACACAATACTGGCTATTTGTACCTTTTGGGGGAAAACCCCCAGGTTTTGTTCTGCATATCCAACAGATCGGGAATAGCAGACTATATATATAAAAAAGAAATAAGTAGGAAATTCCAAATTCTGTACTGAAGCAAAAATAAATAAATAAATCTGAATTCGGCAAAGAGAAAGTTATCTGGATAAGTTCTGGATGTCAGTTGTTATTTCTTTATATTTTTCTACTCTTATCAGATCAAAACACAGAACTACCATAAAAGGGCAAATGATACAATATAGAAGGTGGTCCCACTGAAGTGGTCTAAGATACAAGCATGCCATGAAGTCCAAATTATGAAAAGGGGCATACAGAAGTGTGTAACAGGGCACATATGTGGCACTGTCCCTGCTGGCGCCTCTTGCCCATTTAGCCAGACAGCAGCAGTTTGGGTGACAGCTTGAAAGACCAGCTCTGCCCACAGCCCCTCTGTTTCTTATGCCACCCCGTGGTAGAAGACAGTGGCATCTCTTGATTGCTTTGCTTGTTTCTGGTTGCACAGTGTTGTAAACATTCTTTCAGAATATGTGAGTCTTCTGTTCTTTTGATCACAGACTGGTTTTATGGGCTTCCTTAAGACTGGATGTGCATGCCCAAAGGATTATAATGGGAAGCAAACCGATTACACACACACACACACACAAAACCTTTATTGGCATTGAAAGCACAAGGCATCATGGAAAACCGATTACAAGAAAGGCTAAAATGAAACACCACTACCATACCTTCCAGTCATAGGAACTCTCACACAGAAGTTTTCTTAAATTATTCATGAATTAAAACTGCAGGACAGGCATGCTCAACCCCTGTGCTGCTGGCTCCAAGGTCCATTATCTGTTTTCAATACCTGTTTCTCATCATGGCAGTCAGAGCAACCCTGCTTCTAGCTGCCATGCTTTCTCTTTTATTAAAAATGGAGAATTGGAATTGGGATGAGGCTAACTAAACCACCCAAATTTTTAAAAGGTGCACAATGAAAAGCAAAGACACATGGAAGGGAGGGGAGGAAGCAGAGGCTCAGAGGGCCAGCTGGTGAAGGCTTGACAGGCCCTGGCATGGCTTATAGGTTTACAGGAGAACAGAGCCTGGTTGTTCCTAGATGGCAAAAGAAACTGAAGAGGGGGCAATTTTGTGGTATATAACAGCAATCTAGCAAAGGGGCAGACAGTGATTTAGATTATATCCCATGGAGCTTAGAAAAAAATAGCCTTGTCGATAACAGCAAAGGGGGAAAAAGAACTGCAACATTTTATGAGTGATTTGGCTGCTTGATTACTGTAAATGGATCCATCACTACAGTTTTGCTTAAAGCGTCATCTAATGGAAACCAGGGAAACAGCAGGAGAACTTTAATGTTCCTTTAATGGCTGTGGGTATTCTCCTGAATGGGAGGTTCACTTGCAAGGATGAGGGCTGAGTGTTCAACATGTGTGTGTTGTGAGAAACAGCAGCTTTGTTTTTGCTTTTTTTAAAAAACAGCACAGTGAGTTTCTAGCTGGAGTCAGTGGAAACTGGGGTGCAGCCCTGCATGTGTATTATGTGCAAATATGAGCTGCGGTGGCTCAAGTGGTTAAGACGTTGAACTGCAGGCTGTGGAAGGTCGGTAGTTCAGCAGTTCGAGATCCGAGTTGCCACATGACAGAGTGAGCTCCCATTGCCGCATTACGGAGTGAGCTCCCGTCTCTAGTTCCAGCTCCTGCCAACCTAGCAGTTCGAAAGGAAGAAATTGCAAGTAGATAAATAGGTACCACTTCAGTGGGAAGGTAACAGCGTTCAGTGCGCCTTGGTGTTTAGTCATGCCAGCCACATGACCACAGAAACGTCTTCGGACAGTGCTGGCTCTTTGGCTTTGAAACGGAGATGAGCACCACAACCCTAGAGTCGGATTCGACTGGCTTTCGAGCAAGGGAACCTTTACCTTTACTTTTTTATGCACAAGCTGCTCCCTGGGAACTTGATGCAGAGACCAGAACATTTGCTGCTTGTTGTTGTAGGAGGGCCTATTTGCTTCCAGTATGTTCTGCCTGTGTTTTTACAAATAAATCAAATCTGACAGATACTGTACCCTAAAAAGACCTACCTCCAACCCATGTGGTGAGATCTTCAGATATTCACTGACATCGTTACTATTCAGCATGGCCATAATGTTGGTCAAGTCAACTTTCTCATATGTAAACTGCCTTCCTTCCTTCAAAACTGTGAAGAGGTGTAGACATATTGTAAATGATTTGTAATATACTCTACAACAATGTCAATAATGCAAAAAATGGATCTGGCAATCAATTGAATATGCTTAACTAAATGTGATCTATCGGGTTTTCCCAAACTGTCATCCCCCACCCCATCCTTCCCTCCCACAGATCTATATTGTGTATTTGAATTGGCCAGGCCTAGCATATAAAGCCAGGTTGAGGATGGGCCAATTTGGGCCAGTTCTCCAGGGAAGGATGTGTGCACCTCTGCCCTCAAGTTACTGCCATTAGTAGAGGTGGCTACAACCACTCCTAGTGCATTGAATACAATGAATACAACCACTCCCAGTGCAAGAATATCATTTAGCCAGTGCATTGGAGGTAATCTTGCCAGACTCAGAAGAGAAGTATGGCCGTTCTCTCTCAACCAGTTAAGTAGTCAAATGCCTTCAAGGTTGTAAGCCCACACACAGAGCAGTTCTCCTTTTAGCTTTTGTACAACATTTAGCTTAATTGCTCCAGAAACCTTAATGTTTATTAAGTATGACTCTTGAGAATGGCTGTTTCACCAGTGCTCTAAATATTCTTGTCCAAGTAGAAAATATTCCAAGACTTCAGTCCAATGCACCATACTTTTTTCTTTCTGAACTAGCCCAAACCCGGTTGCCATGCCATTTATCCTGATCAACTTAGAGTGGATGATGGGAGAGAGACGTAGCAGGGGGTTGACCAGAAGAGCCCCATGGGATAAATGGTGTTCACAAGCCACTCATTACACTTATGCTGACCAAATAGTTTGGAATCTGGCATTAACAGTGCTAATTATGGCAAATCAGAAGCCCATGCAGAATAAATTATATGAAGCAGACAAACATGGGGACATTTCATTTCCATATTTAATTGTGTATAATTACACAGAATTGGCACTGAAGACAACAGGGTGTAAAGGATATTGGACAGAGCCCAGGAACTGTGCTAGGTGACTTCCACACTAAAAGTTTATCCACCAAAGTCTCCATTTAACATTGTGTAGAAGCTGTCTGTATGTTTCCACACATATTTGCCATTTATACCTTGCCACCTGGCTTAGAATGAGACTCCACAGCAGCTTCTAACATATTCAACATTAAGTATCACAGGTTTAAAATCAGACCAGAAGCAATAAAACATGTACTTCAATCCCAATACAATCTCAATAAAGACTAGAAAATTCAGAAAACTCAAAGGTCACCAGAACAGACTTGTTTTGTGGGTTTCCTAAAAATAAGTTTCATGTAAGCCTGTCTGTTATTTCCAAAGGCTTTTTGTACCAGCCAACTTAGCATCAGAGAATGCTGGCACTCAGAGCAAAGCCCCCAATGACTAAGCACCAGAAGACAGTAATAAGGGAGGAAGTGCTTCTGGAGATAACCTTTTAAGTACTGAACTGCCTGGGTGCTGGGGAAAGCCTAACTTTAAATTGTACCTGGAAACTCACTGGAAGCCTGTGCAGCTTTTCCAACCCAGGTGCGTGTATGCTCCCCAATGCTTATGTTACTCCCAGTAACAAAGCAGGCTGCTGCATCTGAACACAATTTTGCAACTATGAGGGCCAGCAGCTATGAGGCCAAACGTTTCCCTTCCCCTGTGTTTCCATTAAAGGGCTCTCCAGTTCCCAGACCTTGTCAGAAGCTAGATTTTTAGAACCACAGGAAACAGTTACAGAAGGACAACTCACTGCAAGTAAATGAAGAAAAATATCCTCATAGCCCTGCTCCATGTGTTACCCAAAGTGACATGGCCACCACAGTTCTGCAGTTGCTTCTGCACTGCTCCTGATAACACCTGCAACTTCTGCCTATGTGGTCAGGGTGGCTTGCTTTGTTGCACAACTATACTAGCGACACTTCAAGTAACTTCGGAAATGGGCCCCAGTCTCCAACTAATCACGCTTCTTCTAGTGAAGCAGATTAAAAAGGTATCAGGAAAACAAAAGCAATGCCCTTTGCACCACCCAATGCCTCCCCTCCTGCAGGAAGCAACACCCCATCATCAGAAAGGCGAAGCAAATGACTGCTTGGGGCCATCCATTCTGCCAAAAGTCTATGGGTGTAGGGTGCTGTGACATCAGGCCACTGAGCTGTAACACTTCATTCGCCTTCTCTGTGAAATTGCCTCAGGCAGCCTTTGTTTACCATCAAAGCCAATATAGAAGAACAAAGGAAAACTGAAATATTCAGAAGCAAAGCCAGACTAAAATGCCTCAGGGCTTTTAAGCACTTGCATTTTGGGAAGCTTCCTCAACATATTTTCCCAATCTTGCCACCATTCTGAATTCTGTTACTTCCAGGCTTTAGTTCAGCACATGCTACAGATGAGGACTTGAATGCATGGAATATAGATTCCACCACCCCCACCCCCACCCCAAGAAGCATACACATTCTGGAAACTACAACTATACTTGCAATGTCAGCAAAGGTTTGCTTAAATGCCTAAAATTACATGGTACTTTTGAACCTGGAACTGGTCATTCTGGAAACCATAATATATTCTTGCTTACATAGATTGTCCAAACTCCACTGGGCACAGAATCCGACTTGCCGTTTCAAATAGTCTGGGTGATTTGTCCATTTCTCTAACAAGACAAGCTGGTCACTGATGCATGTTTCCGAAACTGTGATTTTATTTTCACCTAGATTTGTAACATAGAGGGATGGTTGTGGCAGGAAAAACAAAAGGCCGACAGAAAACACAAAACCCACTTCAAGGGGGGAAAAAATAGAACCGGGTTTCTAAAAAGTCAGTGTAAGACGGTAGGACCTCACAAGATGAAATATTTAAACCAACAGCAGAGCTAGTCAGGAGCAGCCTGGCTATTAGTGAGGGCATGTAAACTTTGCAAGCTGCAAAGACGTCATTGCTCTTCTAACGCTCTTTGTAAGCTGCCTTGAGCTCCTTTTGGCAAAGTGTGCAGCCTATAAATTATTTAAATAAATGGAAATAATAAAGCAGTGGTATCCCTCCCAGTCACCGTATTGTTCCAAAGAGTCCACGTAAATGACTTAATGGAGTGATTTCTGCAGAGTAAAAGCTGTTGCTTCATGCCCTAGGGACTGGGCATAGTTTCACTACATTGCTGTGATTTCCCATTCCTGCCCATTTAGCATCAAAGAAGCCTGTTTCCCCACTGAAAAGAAGGCCTCTTTGATCATGATGCTGGGATTGTAGGCAGCACAGTGTTCAAGATGTTGCCCCAGAGTCATAATCCTGTCCCATTCCTCCTGTCTTACCCAGCCATATTGTACTCTTTTTGCATGGGGGAAAAGGAAGCTGTTAACTATTTCCATGCAAAAGCTAAGGTTTCTGCCTCCCCACCCTACCCCACTGCAGATTAAGCTTTACAGCAAGAGAAGCAAAGCCATTAAACACCCTGACCTAAAGGGCAATGATGAGGGGCTCTGTGGGACATGGAAAAAGGGGAGTGGGGGGAATGGAACAAGCCAGTTTACTGGACAGAGGTACTGGTGTGTGCCTTGGAATAAATGAAGCAAAACCAGTCTATGTGGTCTAAGATCTCTCCTCATTCTCCCCACCCCATAAAGTGTATTGTAAACTTACATACTTACTTGTTTGTGCAAACTTTTCCAGGGCTATTAGTGCAAAAAGCATTACTGTTGGATGGGACTGGAAATTCTAAACAAACAAGAGAATTACTGGACACAATTCTCAGCTATCTTCAAAACACAACATTTTTGCTCATTTGTCCAACACACTGGGAATGATCTAAGGCTTATTTTTAAACATTCAAGTGCCCAATTGTAGAGAGGAAGGAAAGAGAACTTCTTCTGAGTTATAGGATGTTCCCTCCTCATGGTGCTCCAATGCAATAAGAACAGTCAAATTATACCATCCTACCCAGACAAGTTATTTAGAATACAGACCATCCATTTGCAACTGTGCTACCACAGCTGGACAGCATCTGTGTTGGGAGGAACGAGCATCATGTTTTAGGGAAGATCTTGTCTCACTAAGGGAAGATCTTGTCTCACTAACCTGTTAAGAGTTCTTTCATGGGTGAACAAGGGTGACCCAATAGATGTTGCTTACCTAGACTTTCCAGAAAGCTTTTGATAAAGTTCCTCATCAAAGGCTCCTAAGTAAACTCAGTAGTCATAGGATAAGAGGACAAGTAATCTTGTCAGCTCTTCAGCTTGGAGAAACGATGACTGAGGGGTGACATGATAGAGGTTTACAAAATTATGCATGGGATAGAGAAGGTAGAGAAAGAAGTACTTTTCTCCCTTTCTCACAATACAAGAATTTGTGGGCACTCAATGAAATTGAGCAGTAGGTTAAGAACACATAAAAGGAGTACTTTTTCACCCAAAGAGTAATTTACATATGGAATTCACTGCCACAGGAAGTGGTGGTGGCTACAGCTTCAAGAAGAGATTATATAAACATATGGAACAGAGATCCATCAGTGGCTATTAGCCACAAGGTGTGGATGGAACACTATGTCTGGGGCAGTGATGCTCTGTATCCCTTGGTGCTTGGGAGATAACAGTGGGAGGGCTTCCAGAGTTCTGGCCCCGCTGGTGAACCTCCTGATGGCATCTGGGTTTTGGCAACTGTGTGACATAGAGTGCTGGACAGGATAGGCCATTGGCCTGATCCAACATGGTTTCTCTTATGTTCTTAGGTGCCAGGGAGACCTTGCACCTTCCACACTTGGCCAAGAACTGGAAACAGATAAGATGAATGAGAGAGACAAACTCAAGTCAACAACAGATAATGAAATGTGCTGCAGGCTTGCATAGAGATTCCTTCTTCCATTTCTGGGTTCTTGCTCATGACAGTATTATGCAATGTTTGAATCAAATAATAAATCAGACAGTTATGGTTAGTGTCATTATGGTTTAAGAGATTAACACAAAGCTTAACTGCCTGATTTGGATGTCATAGCAAACTATGCTTTAGAGGAAACCTGAAAAAGAAGAGAATTGGTATGCGATAAGGAGTAAGGAACCTGCAGCGTACTCCAAATCCTATGAATCATGAGCTATAAACAGGATGGTGTTTTCAGTAAGTTCTTTAAGGAGGGGGGACAAGATTCTTCCCATGTACTGAATGATCAGCAGGGAGGCTTCATGTCTTGTCATTTTCTGGAAGTGAGAATTGCAAAAGCTCATGGAGGGGTTCTTTCAAAGGTGGCTTCACTACTACAACTCTGTCTATATATCAAATAGCATATGCATGGGGATGTGCACCTGAAAAAATTAAGGCTCTAATTTTTGGTTGCTCTGCCAATGATTCCTTTTCATTGGTATGGTGATTGTATTCCCCTATTTAATCATTTTAAAAATATTTTAATATTTAAAACATCTTTTCCATCCAGAACATTTTGATAAAGAGAAATTTCACTGACTAATGTAAAACAGTAGGGCAAATTGTATTTATAGAAGGCTGAATGAACGTAGCTTTTCCCTTTTATGGGCAAGCTGTGAGGTGGTCATGAGATTTTTTCCCAAGAGAAGTCTGCGTCCTGCGTCAGCCCACTGGTCCCTCTAGCCCAGCATCCTCATTCTGAGTGGTAGCAACATCCCAGGGTCTCAAAGCAGTGGTTTTTCTCAGTCCTGTTAGCTCGGATTTCATGATGTCAGGGGTTAAAGCTGGGGATTTCTACATGCAGAACACCACTGAGGTATACCCCTTCCCATTTTCATGCATTCCCTTAACCCACATTTCACCACCTCATAAGAAAACACAACTAAATTAAACTAAAATCCAGTCCATGGACAATGATCACCCACAAAGCCCAGTGTTTAAAGAGGAATAAGTTGGAATACAGATTTACTTTTGATACTCACCAAGCTCTGCAGTAAGTATTCCAGTATTCCTGGGCTGAGTAAACCTATACTTGCAGGGCCTGCAAGAACACTAAAAATGAAACATGTGCATCGAAGCTGCTGCATTACTTTTTTAAAAAAAAGTCACTTTCAAAAAAGATTAGTGTGCTACTCTGCCAGCCCTGTTATCTTGTCTTTATAGACATTGTGCAAGTATAAAAAAAAGAACTGGGCAAGTTTAAACGTAGACTTAGAATTTTTAAAAGTAAGTAGGAAACAATAACAGTTTTCAAATACTTCTAAGGGTTTTGGAAGACCACAGACATAGCAGCAGTGACCATATCTTGCTTTCAGGTCCAGCCGGTAATAGTCCATTCCCCCTGCCCACTCTCTAGTAGCTTGCAAAGCCAGAAGTGCAGGAATTAGATAAGCATATGGAGCAGAAGTCCATCAGTGGCTATTAGCCACAAGGTATAGATAGGTCAGTAGTTCAGCAGTTCGAGACCCAGGTGATGCATGATGGAGTGAGCTCCCATCTCTAGTTCCAGCTCTTGCCAACCTAGCAGTTCGAAAGCAAGAAATTGCAAGTAGATAAATAGGTACCATTTCAGTGGGAAGGTAACAGCGTTCCGTGCACCTTGGTGTTCAGTCATGCTGGCCACATGACCACGGAAACGTCTTCGGACAGCGCTGGCTCTTCGGCTTTGAAACGGAGATGAGCACCGCAACCCTAGAGTCGGATTCGACTGGCTTTCGAGCAAGGGAACCTTTACCTTTACTATAGATAGGAACTCTCAGGCTGGGGAAAGTGATGCTCTGTATTCTTGGTGCTTGGGGGGGGCACAACAGTGGGAGGGCTTCTAGTGTCCTGGCCCCACTGGTGGACCTCCTGATGGCACCTGGTATTTTTGGCCACTGTGTGACAGAGTGTTGGACTAGATGGGCCATTGGCCTGATCCAACATTGGCTTCTCTTATTTTCTTATGTACTGTATGCCACTTGCCAAGGGAGTCCGGGGGGGGGGGGGGGGGGGAGCTGTCAGCAGCACCAATCATTCCAAAATGGCACCATGATATAGCCTGATGCTACTATGAGAGAGGCGCCCTTTGCCTTCCCATTCTGCCAACTGTGAAAAAGTTATTCATATGGCAGAATATACTGGAGTCTCCCTGTTGGTCACCAGAAGACTAGCTATCGTATTTGTGAGCACAGCTCAGCCAAAGTTAAGCACTTTTAAGACAGATTTCAGTTGGAGAATTAAAGCTTTAAGCACTCTAGCAGAACAAATATGACTGGGATTTGCATGGAGTATATTGGTTCCGCACAACATGTAGACTGGAAAGAGGCTGGAAGGAGAAGCAAGTTATCCACCCTCACCATAGCATAAAAGTAAGCATCCCTTACCTGCAAGCTTTTCTGCCAAACAGCCCAGTACTGCAGTTGTGTTTCGATGTTTGGCAGGATGACAGGCATCCTGGCGAGCAACAGCTCCACTTAAATTCAGTATTTCAGTTAATTTCTGCAGCGCATCCTAAACGGTGAATTTTAATATGCAGTCAGTACCATGTGCCCTACAGAGGGACACACTCCCTTCTTTTCATCTCTGCTCAACACACTATCATTAAGAATGTGTCACCAGGTACTAAAGGTTTAAGCGATCCACTGATAAATGTGCTTGGAAATCATAAACACTGAAAAACTTAGTGGACTTCCCTTTCTTGCATCTGGTTTTAAATCCTTCAGTTAAAACACATACCCCTCCACACTCTACAGGACAGTAAGAACTAGCAACACTTCAGGAAATGCTTCAGAGCCCACCTGCTGCCTGGAGTCCATATTGACTCCACTCATGCCCTAAGTGGCCATTAAAAATCACTCAATACAAAAGTGATATAAGTGATATAAAGATGCAATCCTGAAATCACTTCCTCTAGATTTCAGCAGCTACTCCCAGAATCATAGCCAAAGGAAAAACCAAATCCATCCTGCAACACATTACTACCATGACAAGAATTTCTAGCTGGCAGAGAGCATCTGACAGGAGTATTAGAACTCCAGGTGGGTATTGTGATTGACTCTGCAAATCAGGCTGTGCATTGCACAATTGTTTTTAAAAAATCTCATTTCAGTGGTCATGCTTTGGACAGTGTTACATATTCCACAGTTATCATGGAAGTAAATTATTGGCCAAAAATGTATAAATGGGTAAGAACAATGAGGAATTTCAGACAGACGATATAATCTGGAAGAGGAACGGTTCCCAAACGGTTTCTGGTCTGTCATTTCAGACAGAACCGTTTTATAACCGGTTCCCTACCAGAATATTTTTGTAATTTCAGACACAAACACTTCTGTCCTGTTTAGGAAACCGCTTCCAAGTAATCTTCAGTTTCCTCTTCCGGTTCCGATACACTTTTTCCCTGCTGTTTTTTGCCAGCGCGGGTGATCTCCGGCTTTTAAAAAATGTTTGCTTTATAGCGTTATAGCGCTATAACGCTATAACAGAACAGCAGTATATCAACCCCATTGGAATGCCTGGAGTGTTTTGTTATAGTGCTATAGCGCTATAAAGTGAAAGTTCCAAAAAAAGAGAAGAAGCCAGAGATCGCCCGTGTGGGCGAAAAACAGCGGGGAAAAAGTGGTGCAGCCTGAAATGGCAAACCGCTTCAGATCCAGCTCTTTACCGGAAGGGGAAAGCCATGTGTGAAATGGCAGCCCTATACCGGTTTACTCCATGACGGATCAAAAAAGGCTTCAAAATGGGTTAAAAAGGGTAATGTGAAATTCCTCAATATTACTGCAGAATGGCAAATCACATATGAATTCTGGAGCCAAGAACAACTGTGAGCTCCTTAAAATCTGGGCAAATAGCAACCCTGAATTAATAAGATTTTATTATTTTAAAATGATTTCTAAAAGCATATTTCTTTTTTAAAAACCCAGCTAGAAATATTTTTCTTTTCCTTACATGCCCTTTGCAAATAGGATAGAACACTGGCTCTCTGTTTGTCCATTTCACAACACTTTTGCCAGTTGCTCTTAAATTTGCAACTTTTGTCTGGGGTACAAAGTTGATGCAAATCCATGTGAACACCATTATTACCCATTTCTTAAGACAAACACTGTTGAAAATAGCATTAGCTCTGTAGCATGCTGTTGGAATCAGGCAGAAAACTGCATATGTATTAAACTCACTTTTGTTGGCAATGGACACTCATCCAGTAGTAAAGTTATAACAGCTGGTCCCAGGGGATCTTCTAATGGAATAACTCTAATTAAGGATTGGACAACTTCCAGCCAGCCTTCATCTGTCAACCATAAGAGAAAGAGGCAACTGTCTTTGCATAGAGTTTAATCTCCATTTATGTTTCAACAACTATCAAAAGTATGATTTTAATAGCATTTTTCAAGATTTGTCTATATAACAAACCTTAGTCACAACCTTCAAGTTCATCAGCTGCTGGTTGAGATATGTAGCAGCTCTCTGGAGGAAGCACAAATATTGATTGCTCCAGGGAGTACTGTTAAGACAAGTTCACACTTGAATTTTTTTTTAACGCAGTGAGTGTAATATCAAATTGAAATCCCGTCCTCATCACTGAAACTTTGGCTTTGAGAGAAGAAATAATACATTGCCTCCTTCTTACATGCTTTCAAATCCAACTCATGCATTGGGCATGGGAAGGAAAAGCACACATACTTTCATGCTTTCCAGATCTTGGGGGAAGGACAAAGAGGAGGAGAAATGTTGAGTAGATTCAGTGCCTCTTTGATATGCTACCTCTACAAATAGGTCCCGACATATTTGGAATGCGACAAAGATTGATATAAGCTGGTTACCATGTTTTCATCATTTATATATATAAAAAAGCAAGTCATGCATGGCTTGATGTTCAAATAGGATAATCTGAACTCCCAAAAGCGTCTGCTCTTGAAAGTCGTTTTGATCAATTCACTACAAGCAACACTGTTTCTTATCTTGGCATTTTTCTCCAAACCTCTCTGCAAGGGACTGATGAAGGAAATATGGCTGAGACTCAGAGGCAGACTGAGACATAAATAGGGCCACTTCTGACAGTATTTTGGCTTGATTTTTCTTTCCCATATGTTAGTAACTGTATCAATTTAAAACTACTAGAATGCAATAAAAGATCTCAGAGGACTGAATATGGTTTTAAGAACGTTCAAGCTCCAGTTTCATATCAAAGACCCCATTAGAAATTTAGCAAACATGAAACTGATACATCTTTAAACTGTTCTAAAAAAGGCACCCACAATTCTCAAGGTACATTCTTTGGAAACACACTGATAAAAATCTTCCCAAGGCAGCACTAAGCAACCCCAATGCACAGCGATTCAGACTTCTGCAACTATTCCAGTACAACAGAATGGTACAAAGGTACAGCAACTTGGGGGTAACAACACACATTCTGGGACACTTCTGCCTCTGCAGCTCCTGACCATAATTACAGCATACTGTTTAACTTGGGAAGCAAAGCACACACCTGTTCCCTTTTTGCTACCCCCAAGGCCTGTTCAGTAGCTCCCTGTAAAGAAACAAATCAGCCCATTATCTTGAGCTTCATGGCAGCTGGCAGGGCAGATTTTGCAACTACATACCTCATAAATTTAGTCATATCTGACATGTACACATATTAAGCTAATTAAAATTTTACTGTGCTCACTGTCAAGTACTGGTGTTACCTGAATAAGGATTGACAATTGGAATGAGCCCCTGGAAAGAAATATGCAGTACAAACTTTAAGCTTCTTTTCAGAGCCGAGAGATTTCCCCCCCATAAGATTGCAGACTGAAGTATTGCACAATAGAAAAGAAATACCTGTTTCAGCCATTTCGTGCAAAGTCATCATTGAATAAGGAGGTTCCTGGTCACTGGAAAAAAAAGTTAATATATGCCTGTCAGCAAACACTGAATTAAGCAGAGAATGATTCAGACCCAGAGGTTCCCCAAGAACTGCATCTATGATGGGAAAGATTCATTGTCCAGGGCAGACCAAACAGAAGCTCTGGTGGGAGCAAAATGGAATATTGCCACTGGAAGCAGTCCAGAGAGTTAACTATATTTGTCCCATCAAACCCCAGTAGAACAGAAATCCCCTAAAATGCAATCCAGGGACCCACCAAGTGAGTATGTGCCTGAAAGATTTGCTCATCACCCTTTGGACAAGCTACAAATAGCATTTTATACACTGGAAAATACAACAGCTTTCTTGGCAATGCAGAGTCTGCTGAAGAAAAAGGAAACCAAAGCACCTGACATTTTGCAAAACCTCTTACTGCACACAGTGGGGATTCTCTAGATTAAAGCCACAATCAGCATTATAAACTAAATACAGTTCAGGGACCAGAGACACTAATTTTTTTAACATCTTGAGGAACAGTGAAACATGATTGTGTTTGTATGAAGGATAAAGGCAAGGAGGGACTACATCTAAAGTCTAAAAATGTATAAAGTAGCGTCGGAGTCTCAGAGCGGTTTACAAACTCCTTTCCCTTCCCCTCCCCACAACAGACACCCTGTGAGGTAGGCGGGGCTGAAAGAGCTCTGATAGAAACTGCTCTTTTTGAAGAGCACCTCTGATAGAACTATGGCTTGCCCAAGGTCATCCAGCAGGTGCAAGTGGAGGAGTGGGGAATCAAATTCGGTTCTCCCAGATTAGAGTCCGTGCACAACCACTTAACCAAACTGGCTCAGGAAGAAGGAAGAAGTTTACTGCTCAATACAAATAGCAAATTATGTTATAACCTGGCCCAAGTCCAACTGCCAAACAACAAAATCCACACCTAGATTCCAGAAATGAAGAAAGCATACATATGGGCATTTGTGGATTCTGCAAATGGGCAAAATCAACAACTGCATGTACACATATTTTCTCTGTTGTGGCTCCCACCTTGTGGAATGGCCTGCCCGAGGAGTTAAGGAAAGCTCCCAGTCTCTTGGCCTTCCGTGAACTTTGCAAGACTGAACTATTAAAGAGAACTATTTTCTGCACAGGTAATAGGGTTGCATTGTACAAAAGGGCTCACAAATTTACTTGGATAAATGATTGAGACTGTGGTCTATACTGCTGCGTACAGCTTACTGTTAAGTAGGATCCAATTATGTAATTTCTGCAGCACTTAATGTACCATATTAATACTTATGCTATGCTTCAGTTCTTTCTGGTGGTTCCAGACTTCTAAAACCCTAATGCTCTGATTACTGAATGTCCCATTTTTGTTGATTGTGTAACGTGCCTTGAGTCCCTGTGAGAAAGGTGAACTATAAGTAACAGAAATAATAAAAATACTCTACATGGAATAATTCTTGAAGCTAAGGGCAGCCTTGTACCTCACAATAAGCATGGAACTGCTGCTGTTTTGAGTGTCTTCCCCACACCTTCCCACCCCCCAACATCTAATACAAATTACTTTATGGCCTATCATCACCATAAAAGGGAGGGGGGGGGAATTGGGCTACACCCAGCAATGTACCAGCAAACAAAAAAGGAAAAAAAAGATATCAGATGACAGCTTTATTGTCACACAAAGCTGCTATGCATTTCACCATTACTGTGGAAAGTTTCAGCACTAGGTGAATTCTGACAAATGGCAAAATAAGTAAGGGCTTCGTATGACAATAAAGCTGTCACGTGGCATTCTTTTTCCTTCTTGGTTTGCTATCATCATCATACCATGCGTTTTCCCATCTCCAAGGCAGCATGGAAGTGATGGAATGGGGCAGAGACATATACAATGAAAGGACACAGGCTAAGTTGTACTAGATGTTGGGGGAAGGAGGGCTTGACAGTGGGCATTCATTTTTAGTGGTAGCCTTGTGCTCAATGTAATATATATTTCCACCTTAATGTAATATACATGAAACAGATTTCTTTTCTCCATTTGGATATCATATCTATTTCCATCTTAACACATGTACTCTCTGGGAGAAACCATTTAATAGAAAGTCCAGAAACCCCATGCCTAGAAATCCAGATTTCAACATCCATTTAACAGTACAAGTGCGGAGACAAAGAAAAAAAAATGATGACTTAATCAGACCCACTAGAGTATAGAATCATAGAGCTGGAAGGCCCATAGAGGCCATCTAATCCAACCCCCTGATCAATGCAGGATCAGCCTAAGGTATCCCAGACAAGTGTTCATCCAGCTACTGCTTGAACACTGCCAGTAGGATTGTTATGTCAGTACTATCTGTTATGAAAAGGCAGAAACAGGGTGTGGGAATTGACCACAGAGGTCCTGGCCCACCTTGTGCAGATGTGCATCCTACGTAGTTACAAAGGTGGTGGTAATGAGAGAGGGAAGGCACAGAACCGGGGTCAGCCTAGTGTGGCCCAGACCTTCCTTGCACTAAATATCCCACTGGAAACTGAATTGCAGCCACACAGTAACTTGAGAAATGCTGAATGACAGAGGGCAAAGTCACAGAATATCTAAAAAACCACATGGAGAAAAGAAATCTGTTTAACATATAGCAGCTAACTTGAGCAACACCCCCCCACACACCAAGACATCCAGTATAATAACTCTGCTTGATACCCAAATTTGATACCTGCTTTAATATTAACATTTGTTAATAGTTTGCTCTGTAGCTGAGAATTCTATAGAACACTTTAACTAGCAGTTCACTTAAGAGCAGTCTCCTTGCATGCCCAGGGGAGGATATATCTCTTGAAATTTTTAGGAGGTGCTGCAAAGTTGTTTTATTTGCTAGGACTTTTAATGAGGTATTCACTGCAGATATTGTTTTATTATGTATGTTTTAAATGGTGATTTGTAAGCTGCCTTGAGCCACAAGGAAAGGCAGGATATAAACGTTTTAATAAGTAGAATAAAGTACCCATTGTGCAGTTCACATAAGAAATGTGATGTGATATAGTGCAGAGAGAACCTGACAGGATCCGGGGGGGGGGGGGGGGGAGCTGGTGGATTCATCTACCTGCTCAGTCATGAAGTTGGGTAGATAATCTTGGAATACTTGCTGGCTCTTAGCTTAACCCACCTCTCAAGGTTGTTGTGAGGATTCAAAGGAGTAACCCTCTTAAATGCTGCTTTGAGCTGTGTGGAGGAATGGTGGGAGATATGCAGGTACATATCTGTAAGTTAAGATACTGCTTGATGATGCAGCAATAAACTGAGAGCGCTGGAGATAAAGGCTTGGATCTTTATCTCTTTTTCTGCTCAAGGAGGAAGGAGTGTAATTTTCAGAGAGGTCACTCTCCCACTTTGTCCCACACTTCCCAGAGGGGCAGTCCTCAGATCCACCCTGAAGTAACCAGTTCTGTCCTCTTAGACAGAAATAATGGTGCTGACTATCCTCTTTTACACCCTTCACACTGCCTTGTTCTAGGCAAGTAGAGTTGGCCACTAATTTTCTTCAATGCATGAACACACATGCATGTGTGCACACAAACAGAGAAATAGAACTAGTTTACTCCCAGGCCATGCAAAGAACACAGAAGTACTGTACTAACTGTGTTAACTGGAATAAGCGACCACTACCTTGAGAAGGCAGGTGCGAATGCATAATTAACCTTTCATTTTGCCCAAAAGAGCTACATCATTCAGACGCTTGCCAAGAGAATCCTGCTCCTTGCCAAAAAAAGCATGAAAGACCTAGAGCTGGCAAGCGACAGAGAATCAAATGATCACCTAACACTAAGAAGAACATTTTGCAAGTGGTAGAGATGGGCAGATGATTAAGTCCACAGCAAACTGTCAACACCCCTGCCACGAGTAAGATACAAAGACATCAAAAGTGACAAAGAGAAGCAACTATTTTAATTATGAAAGAAAATACTAAAGATTCAGTGTAACCATGATTGTAAGGAGGTGTAGCTTTCAGCATATAAATGGGGGGGGGGAGATTCGGAATACATTAGCTGTTGTGTTCTTTGGAAGGAAGGGCTCAGGGCTCACATTCTTCCTCTCAATCTCTTATTGTGCCCACTTCCCTCTCTTCACATTACTATTTTAATAGCACAGAAACCACTGAGTTCATTTTCAAATTCTCTAGAACAAGCATCATTTTAATAGGCAAAAACTAATCAGGTGTGCAGATTTTTTAAAATCTCAAATAAGTCAAGAATTTTGTTTTAAAAAACTCAAGCTTCCCCAACACTACTGAACTAGAATGAAGGCAAGCAAGTCACCAGGAACACAAAAATCCAATACAGACATACAGATGGGTATGTGGTACAGCCCTACACCATTAGAGAACACACACAGGGAATCAGCCTGATGTTAAAGTCTCTGGGTGGAAAAGGTTTTCTAGGAGGAAGACAAAAGGATTGTACCTGTGCGTGCCTACATATTTGAAATGGACTTTAATCTCATGTCTAGGAAGGAGGAGACTAAAGCCAACGTAAATTTATTTGATAGCAAGTCCCACTTAATTCAATGCTATTTACTCCCACGACGCAGGTTTATTTGATAGCAAGTCCCACTTAATTCAATGCTATTTACTCCCACTAAGTACCGGTATGTATAGGACAGCAACCTAAAGTAAAGAGGAAACAAGCCCCTGCACAAAAACACTAAGTCTGCAAAAGTCTGAGGATTTCTCTTTAGCCCCCAAGACTGTCCGTCAACTGCATAAGTGTGAGGGGAGTGGGGTTTACAGCTTGCTCTTCTGCCTCTGTAGAGGCATATTCAAAACCCAAGTTCAGAAAGCAGTCAGGGAAGTCTCTTGCCCAGAAACGGTCTCCTTAGCATATGCCATCTAATCTTACAATCTGGTGAGCCACTGCCAGAACAGCGAGGACTGAGTTTACATTCATCAGTTAACTGACTCCAGCCCCTGCAGTATTTCCTAACAGAAGGCACCTGAATCATCTCGCTGAGATACACTTATATGCACTTTTTGAGCCTGACCAAACCACAGAAATCTCAATGGGAAGTAAAGAATGTGGAAGGGTTTTGCCATTTGGCACTGCCCTCACAACAGGAGTAAGGCACTGCAGTGAGTCCACCTCAAAAGAATTTGACTCTTTGAGTTATGGGACCAAGTCAAATTTCAATGAAATGAAAGATGGGTTCAGAAGCAAGCTGCTCAGGAAGTATTCAAGTATAAAGATGAGAACAGAAGCAGAGAATCCGTCCCGAAAAGCCAGAGGGTTTTCCAGTTCTGGCACAAAGTTGTGCCTGTTTATGCTTCCATGGAAATTATTTCCACAGCATGCCTGGAGAAGGGGCCATTACATCACAGCCACCATTAACCAGCAGCATAGGGGTCTGTAAGGGAAATAGAGTTCATCCCTTGCAATTTTGATCTTCAGGAAATACTTACTTGTCAACCAGCGTCCGAATTACTGCCAACGTGTCAAGTACTAATCCATCCACATTCTGTTTCTTCCTCCTTGGTTCATGCGGCCCCCGCCCCCGCCGCGGGGGCCTTACTGGGTCTCTCAAATGGCTCCTTGTTTCAGGTACTGGTATTCTACTGTTCTCTGTCTGGCGACTCCTGGACTCCACATTGTCTTCTGCCCCGCTGTCTTCTCGACAAACACAGGAGTTGCCCATGCTGGTATCCCCCAAGGTTTGCAGAAAACAACGAATATGCTGTTCAAGAGTCAGCCGTAAACCTTGGAGAAGGCTTCTGCTCACATAGAACACAATCAAAGCAACGACAATCATCTAGACAGTTTTAAGAGCAATGTTTTTTGGATCCTGAATGGTGGCCTTTGCATCATAGGAGTTTGTAACAAGTGGAATGGATGGAAAATGGCTGGTTTAGTTTCCGACATTCTCATTGGAGATACACATTGGATATTCAAAAAAAGGCCTGCAGGGAAAGAAAAAAATATCTTAACAATAACATCTAGATTTAAATTGCACTATAATGCAAACAAGCTCTTCTCCAAGCAACAGAATAATTTTAGGCATGGATTTCTTCAGAGGCCCTTAATAGCAAGTCTACCTAGAACCAATCTACTATCTGGCCCTGCAGTATATCCTGCCCAGTTATCCCAAAGTTTCCCTAATATCCCAGCTTTTACATTGCCATTATGTATTCCATTTATAAACTTTGCAAGCAGGTATCCAGAGCTCCATGAAGATCTTTCCAGCTGCGTTCTCCTCACATCCACCCCTAATCTGAAACTTTCCAATAAATTATAAAGGTCCGGCCTCAAAATTATGTGATCTGTCTAACATGTGTGGACTCTGCTTTAAACTAGCGTTTGAATGTGGGGTGTCTTGAGAGAATTAGGCAGTCAAGTACTTTCTGCTTTCCTTTTACATCCAAGGGAGGCTTCATTCACAGTGTGGATCCAGAAGGAGCTGCAAGGGGGTACAGTCATGAGGTTTGGGTAGAGCCAGGCCTGTTTTTAGGACTAGGAAAATATTTCAAGTTTCCAGGTACCAGCACCAGATGTCTGAGTAACCAGACACTCAAATATTTTCCTTTCCTCGTGGGGCTAATTTTCTTCAGTTCTTTCTCCTCCTATGGTTTTAAAACAGGCATTGCTTGCCTCTTCTGTAACTAGAAACAGCTTTCAAAATTAAAACAAGCAAATCACCCACCCACCCTGAGGGTGCCAGAAAAATTCACAAAAAAATATTTTGGAAATTTTGGGGAACACTGTAGAAAACCTGCTAAGAAATATTTTTCCTTTGGAATGAACAGCTTCTTAACACAAGATTTTATTCACTCAAAAGAAAGATTTTAATGTAGAACAACCAGGATAATTAGGGGACTGGAGCACCTTATCTGTGAGGAAAGGCTGAAGACTCTTTTAGAAAATAGATTTCTAAGGGGGGGACATGATAGAGGTTTATAAAATGACGCATGAGGTGGAGAGAATCGACAAAGATTTTCTTTTTCTCCCTCTCGCAAAATACTAGAACTTGAGGGCATCCAATGAAACTGATGGACAGTAGGTTCAGAACAGACATAGGAAATACTACTTTACACAGAGAGTGATTAAAATGTGAAATTCACTGTCAGAAGATGTAGTGATGATGGCTGCATAAATAAATAGCTTTTAAAGGGGATTAGATAGATTCATGAATGACGAGTGGTGACTGAGGGGAACATCCACTTTCAAGGGCACTAAGCCTCTGAATTCCAGAGCTAGGAGGCAACATCAGGGCCTCTATGCCTTAATGTTGGCCGTCCAGAGGAACTGGCTGGCCACTGTGTAAGACAGGAGCAGGATGCTAGACTAGTTGGACTACTGGTCTGATCCAGCACAGGATGCTGGACTAGATGGACTACTTCTTATGTTCTTAACAATCCACAGTATTACAGAATGACAATTCTTACATATACTGTAAAACTTACATGTTTGAGGATGAATCTATTGTTTAAATGCAATGAATACAATCCACTATTAATATACAATGTGTATGATGACTATACTGCTGAAGAATTTAGTTTCTAATGTTATAAAGTGTAGCCTGATACCCAAAGCTCACTGATAGTCCAAGGCAACCAGAACTGTGAAATTGAGCTGTTTGCCATAAAACTTAAGCAACAACTAGTCATCTTGAGTCCATTTGTGAGGCAAGTCACAGCTCACCACATGAATTGTCCACCCATGAGACAGTGATGCAAGTCTAGAAGAGCTACTATTCCATCCACTTTTCTAAACTGGTGCATGCCATACCAAGAGTGTGTGCCAAGAGTGTGTGATTACATATAGTTACCAGTTTTTATCATTATCATGCAGCACGAGCTAGCAATATCAAGGTTCTTGCCACAGGATCATGAGGGGGTCTTATTGTGATCCTCAGCATGCCAAGTTTTTTCTGAAAATGAAGTTGCATACAAGCTGAAGAAGGCAAAGATAAGAAAACCACAAGCCCTTAACTGTCATGTCCTGATAATCGTCGTAGGAGTTTCTCATGCTCTTCCACACATACATACACATAGGGCAAGCACTCAAAATATTCCAAAGCATTTTTTGGCTGAACTGTAAATTTGGCAGTAAACACGGCTCGGGAAAGTAGCCTGCCATTTCACTAAGGCAAATGGGAGGGGGAGAGAATAATTTCAGGGGAGAAGCAGTCTGTGTATCCCTTCATTCCCTCGTGCTACTTTTTCTTCTGCTCCCCCCAAATCTGGGATTTCAAGACACCTGTTTGCTACAGCAGAAAGCAAAGCAGCTACAGAGAAGGTTAAGCACACACATAACTGCCCACTTCTCCCCTACAAGAAATGGAAGCCCCAGTCTCCAGATCCATGTTTGTGACTGCCTTGAAAAGTGATATCTGCAATTGCAGCAGCTGACTAGCACATCTGTTTAAAGAGGAGCAACATAGCACTAGGCAGTGGTTTTCAGCCTTTTTGGTGTGGTGACCCACAAATCCAAATTTACTTGTTATGGTGAACCATTTAAAAACAAAAGTATGCGCAGATCCATCAAACTGCAAAAGTCCTGGGCAACTCACTTTTAGGTTTGGTACCCACAGGTTGGAAAATGCCTGCACAGAGCAACCTGGCGGCAACATTGTGTTTCCAGTATCACAAGTGAATCAGTGTTTGTACTGACTGGCCAAAGGACGATGGACCAGCAATTCCCCCTCCATTACCCCCCTGTGTCAATACAAGGCAAGAGGGCTGCTCGTATGTTAGGAAAGTCAAGAAACCCCAACCTTTATGAGAAATTTCCCAGCCTGAACGTTCAAGCTGTGAGGATTTTTCAAGGGTTGCTATTAAAGCATGCAAATTCGACCAAGTCATGCAAAACAAGTACATAAACACTAGTTTGTCTTATTCTCCTGAGCTGACACAGCAGGCAAGTCACTTGGGTCAGATTCCGGTGAGGTAGACTATCATCAGACCAGGCCTCACCCAATATTCTGCTGCCAGACTTTTCTTCCCTTGCACAGCCCATGTGTCGATAAGAGGAACACAGATCTTATAAAGGGCTAAAAGTGATTAAAATGGTCTTGCTGTGGCTGGTTCTGCAACTCAGGGAGCCACAAGGGCTCCAGCTACCAAGCACCCGTTCCATGTATATATATATATTTTTAGCAATATGTTTGCATCAGACTCAAATTCTTCAAGCAAGAGTTCCACTTCTGAGACTCCAGAAAGAATACTGCAAACACCCTATGATCTTTTGACACCCAAACACTGCCACTTTTCTAACTATAAAGAAGACATAATTTCTATGGGCCAAAGCAATGAAAAGATCTGGTAAAGAACTATTTTTAACAAAGATTCAATCTAACTAGGTTGTCGTATTTGTGCTAAAACTGAGTACTTAGATTTGGCGGATAAATAGCTTTAAATTACTGCTTGGTCCCTTGCTCTGCTATTTCAGGACATGCAAGGGAAAAATGCATACAGCAAGCACAACTGCAAGCATGACTATTTTCCAGTGATGCAAGCCAAACTTTTTTTTCTGTTAACCTGTGAGGCAACCAGCATAAACAAGCCAAATGGCTATGGTAAAATGAATCTAGTGGCTTCAGCAGAATCCTAGACACAGTGCCACTGGGAGGGTGGGGGAAATCACAAGAAAGGAGAAATCCCACTGGTACTTTTAAAGGCACCTTTGGGACTTCTTCACTGGCAACTCCCCATCCAGTCCAATGACCTCTGCTTCCCTGCTCTGATGGATGCTTATCCCAACCTTCTTTTCTAATTACTAATTACAAGAGAACATCTGTGTTTTTTTTAAAAAACCAAAATCAAACCACCAGTAACCTTGCAAGAGAATCCAGCATGCACATTTAAGCTGGACAATTCTGCAGAATATGCATGTGAAAATTCAAACCATAAAGCAGAGGTGGTCAGCCAGAATCCAGCATGCACATCTAAGCTGGACAATTCTCCTGCAGAATATGCATGTGCGAATTCAAACCATAAAGCAGAGGTGGTCAGCAAAGAATGTACGTAGGTGGAGATGGCTTTAGCCTCATTGTCTCTATAATATATAAAGAATCAATGATTCACAGTCCCAAATATTTTGTTACCATCTATCATAACCACCTCATGATGGGGGAAAGTAGTATGTCTCCTCTGAATCCTCTCCAAGAAGTCAAAATTGGATACAAAGATTATATTAACCACCAAACTACTTTCAGTTTCTACTCCAAGCTCAGCAATGGTGGTATGCAGTGATCCGATTTCCCCCTTACTTGCCATAACTAGGGAAAAATCCAATACAGTTTCTGAGCATTGGTGCTTTCAAAGCTATTAAGAGGATTCTGTTCGCATTCCAAAGAATTAAGCAATTGTGGGGTGAATGTTTTCTTCTGGGAAAAGTCCATGTGAGAACCAAACTTCAGAGTCTGGATGGTTGCCACAGTGGGAAAGACTAGTTAAGCCTATTGTTCTATTGCACTGTACTAAGGGTTTCCTTGTATTATATTATTTTGTGTTGATAAAGCAGCAAAATAAGTTCAGCTTTGATAGGAAAGTAAATATTACAAATATTTCCGTTGTCTCTAAAGTATTTTTCTCCCCAGGGGGGAAAAATTGGAAAGCACCACATTTCCCTCCATGACTTCAAAATTTCTGAAAAATTTACATCTCTAGTCACAACTGTACTGGGATTGCTAAAAAAAGGAACATATTTGCAAACCCATGACTGCCGAGGACTCAGTAATCTCAAACTGGAGATTAACAATGCAATCCTAAACAGAGTTTCTACAAATTTTTAACATATGGTGCTTGCTTGGCCATATGCCCACAGGACTCCCATGATCTTCCACAAAGTCCCTGCCATCAGGGGAATCAATGTAAAAACCAGCCCCTGAGGTTGCAGCACAGCCACTGCATTACCAAAAATGCAGCTGGGATGGAGACATGCAGGTAGGGGAAAGATCGGT